TACTTGTATATATAGTCACTTGTTCTTTTATTAAAGTCAGAGTTCCTTTGGGGAACCGTTTGAAGGCCAATCCCAGCCCTCACTCCTAAATAATTATTTATTTCGGTTTCAGTGTATTACAGTCCTTCTACTCTGCTTTGGATCGGGCAGCCTAAAAAACAGGCGTATTTCCTGTTGTCCCTTCTCTCTCTTAACTTCCTCATTACATGTTCAAGATAAAAATTTAAAACCAATTTTAAGCATCTGTTTTTTTTTTTTGGTTTAAAGCACAGTTTTATACTACAAAGATCGGTAAAAAAAAGCCGGTATCTTCATGGTTAAAGATACACATTATCCACAATGACTGTAACAGTTTTGTTATATTATAGTGCTGGCAGTAAATGTGACATTTGACATTAGACAGTGTTCTAGATCCGAGTTTACCGCGAACCTCTAACCGCTGGAGGTCACGTGACAATTCTTTCGCGTCACGTTTGAGGTTTACGACGTGCGTTTTCAACCTGGGTTTTTCACGTATGTTATTTACCTGAAAGCTTTTAGCGTATAATTCTTGTTTTATCCCACGTAATGATACAAAAATCTTGTGGAGCAAGTCTTTAGCCATTAACAGAGGCACAAATTCAGGCGAAATGCTGGTTTGATAAATCCTATTGGATCTTAAAAACAAGTGCCATTCATGGCTGCTGATTCAAAATGGCGGCCGTAAAATTGCAAGAGGAACTAGTGTAAGAATTTACAGCTCTTTGCTACAAGATAACCCAGTGTTACCGTATTGATTATTGCATTGATTTTTCTTCTATTTCTCAAAGGAAAAATCAACCAGAATCCACTTCTTTAATCCACCGCCAATCTAAATCAAATTATGTTTGAACGTCGAACCGCAAACGGCTAACCGCAAACCGCGTTTAGAGGTTCACGGTAAACGCGGATCTAAAACTCTCTATTAGGTTACATATAGGGGGTGAACGGCAGTCACGTGATTACCAAAATCTCTCGCATCTTTGGTTACCTTTTTTTCTTATCTATGGTGCTCCGCCGCGCGCAGAATCGTGAGAGCTCCGCCGCTAACTGTGTTCTCTGTAGGTTTCTGATTACTTAGTTTGTTTCTTCTTTCATTTTACTATTAAATTTAACCACCACTTTGTGAAGCGCGTTGTATGGTCACGGTTGTTCTCAAACTCACAGACACAAAACTGGAGAGCTCTGAGGACTTTTCCCTGAACTACGGAAAAGGATTTATACTCAACTTTTCCAAGCAAATTTCTAATGTCTGCACAAGGGAACACAATCAAATTCAAGTCATTAAAAGATTTAGACATATTTTAAGTGACTCAACTAAAGCACGGCTTTACAAGGCTTTTATTATGCCACGCACTGTAGTTCTATCTGACATTTCTGTGCTGCCAGGAATTAACTCCTCGATAAACATGTTTTACGAATACAGTGGAACCCCGTTAATACGACCACCTTCGGGCCATGGAAATTTGGTCGTATTAACGGGGTGGTCGTATTAACGGGGTAGGGTCAAATTATGGTGCAAAATGCTTTTAAAAAACATTCTACTACATGTATACCTTTAATCCGTTATAAATCAACCTTTTTGCAGTTTATAACAACCTTACAACCGCAATTCAATGCAACTGAACAATCTAACAGTAAAAGAAACCGAGTAATGAGAAAAAACGCTGACTTCTTTCAGTTCCTTGTTATGAAAGGAAAGGGCGTGTGATTTGTCTCGAAGAGCCGTTTTCTATATCGTAGCTTACAACGCTTTCAAAATTATTACAAAGTTCAAAGTTCTGAAAGAAAAGCCACAGTGGAAGGCAGCAGAAACAAGAAGGCAAAATAACTTTGAGAGCCTCGAAATGCTGCAAAGTGAAGTCTTTTAGATCTTTTGTATCATTTATTCATGCATCCTTTTTACTGCACACAGCAATTTACCGGATGTCATGCTAACCACTAACACCTTTGCCTAAAAACATTCAATAAAATATTAGTAATGGGTTTTAACGACTCAGGACTCCCAAAGGTGGTCGTTGGTCGTAATAACGGGGTGGTCGGATTAACGGGGTTTTCAGATAAGAAAATGAGTGGGCTTTTGTTCGGGCCACGAAAAAGTGGTCGCAATAACGGGGTGGTCGTATTAACGGGGTGGTCGTAAGGCGGGGTTCCACTGTATATAGGAATCGGTAAATAAAGGGAAAAGGGTAACGTGACTTATTAATTAGTTAAAAAGCTAATAGGATAAATAACTTTTCCAATTATACCAGGCGAATTTACGATTTACACTGTTTATGTAACATTTTGGTAGTGAAAATTACCAAAGATTAAGGTTTGCAACCCTTCCCGGTTTAGGAAAACGTGTTTTGTGACGTCATTGACGAAGCGATATCACGTGTTATTTGAAATCACGTTTCACGTGTTGCTTTCGTTGAGACACATTTGTAGTTCACTTTTCAGGAGCACTGATGGAAGCAAACAGTTCTAAATAGCATTTACTAAAATATGCATAATTAATTACGTAGTCATGAGTGAGAACTGAACTTTCATAAGTCGCTTGATTCGCCCTCGCCTTAGAATTACTAACAAAACTTTACCTCGTGATACTAAAAACAAGATTTTGAATTGTTGCAGGTCTTGACTAACTAAATTGTGTTAAAAAACGCTGAACTTGGACGCGAGGCCAAGGAACTTGCTTCTTGGAACTGTAGAGTCTGTGTGCATGGCAAAGCCAAAATTTGGGCTTTGATAGAGATAATCGATTGATTGATAAAGTTAATCAGCTCAAACTACCCTGCCAGGTGGTTGTATAAACCTGCTTTAAGAAACACTATTGTTATCGCGTGATTTGCGCAACCCGGTTAAATCTCGGATGAGACTGTATAATAACCGGCGCACTCGCACTTTTTTTTAACAGGTTGTTTTTTAACCGTGAAGTTTCTTTTTGGATAGCGGCATAAGGATATATCCTGAAGCGGGCACGTAGCGTCTGACACCTTCATTGGGTAAATCAGTTCCACAAATAATTTGCATGACTGTATTGCACAAACCTTTGCTATTTTTGTTGTTTTTGTTCTGAATTTTTGAATAAAACATACTCTTTACGAACAATACATCCACCAATAACAGCATAATGTACTACAAGCAGATACTGATGCTGTTTAAGGCACATGTACTCGCAGCACGCGTCTTACTGAGTGTAATTGATAAAACAAAGCAGAAACAAAGGATTAGAGACCTTTAGATTCTAAGAAAAAAACGAGTACGAGAACGAGATTTTCTCAGTACTGAGTATTGTTCGCACGTGAACCTGCGTCACTTTGGCGAGTAAACGTGATAGCCGTCGACATTCTACTACGAGTTTTAGGTAGAATGTCTTAGTGACGGAACAAGTTGTCAAATGTTACAAGTTTTATCATTTTGCGATCGGGTGAGGGCTTAACTCTCTTTAAATACAGATGCTAGTGTCAAGAGTACAATGAAGCTTTCCGGGGTATCTATTTTTTGAGAATACGCGATAAAACTTCAAGTCAAATCTCGTACTCCTAGTCGTTCTCGTCCTCGAATCTAAAGCTGTCTATTATCTCACCGAGGTTCACTAGTCATAGCCGTGTACTGAAAGCAGTGAAGAGAACTCTGCTACAAGAAGTGGTCAAGTTAGTAGATGTAAACTGAAGTTTGCACCCAAACGAAATGGAACTGATGAAGTTTATAAACTTCAAAGGTGCTCTCACCATAGAGACGGTCATGTTTTACATCAGCGAGTTTTTTTTTTTGGTACGCAGAGAGAACAGAGTACATTCGAGGCCGCAAAAAAAAATAACTGAAACTTATTTGAAGCTCTGAAATTAGTTCAAGTATCACTGCATGCAAGCTTAGTAAATATTGGGTGTTTTTTAGTGTTGTGGACAGGTGCAATCTCTGAAAGATTGCCAAACCAAAACAAAACATAATAAAACACAAAAGTGAACCAACAATGGTTTCCGTAGCAATGAAAAATACCCAATTGCTTCAAGTTTGTTTGTTTTTTTTTTTTAAAGGATAGCTATGCATATTTAAATGCCTTTTTTGCGAAAGTTACAGTCACCCTTAACACACTTTCTGTTTCTACTAAATTGAAATTTAAGCTTCTAGTCGACTGTGTCTTTTTCATTTAGCGAAAATTAATAAGTATGCCCGTGAATACAGAACATGCAACAACGATCCTACTTTTAAGAGCTTATACTAATTCAATATAGGCATGTATTCCTATTAAACACATTGTGCAGCCGTTCGCTCGCTCACAGGGCGAGGCAAACTCATTTCGCCTTTTACCCTCATCGGGCTGGAAGCTGCATTTTAGCTCTGCCGGCATTGATTGAAGAACATTCGGAAAGATTTCCGTACAGCCCCATACATTTTTTATGCATACTTGTTTCGGCCCAATTCATATTAATTTTTTGTACGAAATAGTATGAGATTGTTGCATGCATAATATATGTGTTGGGAAATCTTTACCCAGCAACCGGTCACTCTATTCGTTCAATTTGTGCTAGTTTTTTTGCAGCTGAAAATATAATTCTTTTACATATTTTCGTGTGGGTCAGTCTTCTACGTGACTGAGTAAAATGACTAAGTTCAATGTAAGATTTTTGTTTGACACAAAGTCCTTTGTTAGTTGTTTGAGACAATGCATTTTTCGTGTCATTAGCCTTTGCTTTATTTCAAAATCAAATCTAAAGTGTTCGTGTGGAGAAAGTCACGATAACACAGCTTAGAACTAAAGGAGCCAAATGAGGTTCTTTGTTATTGGTTAAAGTACGAACTGCATCTGGAAATTCATCAAATGAGAGCTTTTGTGATTTCCCCATTGGCTGTTGCCTTCTGACGCACCAAACATCCAGGCCCTTACAGTCAATATATCTACCTTTACTGTTGTCCTGGGAAACAAATCCGTTAGGCCTTAGGTGCGACTCAGAGGGCTTTTATCTCCCAATATCCAGCAACAAGCTCCTTACAAGATGAAATCTTTTGTTGCCTCAGTGTTGGTTTTCGCCTTTTGTATCTCCGTAGGTAAGGTGTGACCGTTTTTATGTCAGGTGTCTAGATATTTTGCCAGTCTTCGTAGATTTAGCAAGCTTTAAAGGGGTGCTATGCTGATCCAGGTAACCTCACGCAAATCATTACATGCAATCGAATCGTTGTTATCACTTTGCCATATATATCAAATATGGGGCGCGGCCATCTTCCGCGGCAATTTCGTGAGGTGATTTTTTGTTTTGTAGTCGATTTGTGAACTTCTCTGTATGGGTACCTACTGGGCCATTGTTTTCGTTGCCGGTTTTCCATCAAACTGAATGAAATCGTCGCATATCAAGAATTATTTTGCGTGGTAACACTCCCAACGTGCAACACAGTTTTTGGCAGATCTATTTGCCGACATCGCACGATTAATTTTTTCAAACTTTACTGGAATAGTCTCTAAAATTGTCGTTTCAGTAGAAGTGATCGCCGAGACTTCGATTTCGCAAGCAATACCCATAGAGGGCCTAATTTTTACGGATTGTGCGTTGTTGATGTTGTCAAGCTTTTTCAAAAGGCGTTCAGTGAAATTTGGCAAAATAGATAACGTTGAAAAACAGGAAATTTATTTGAGAGTCAATGTATTTAGCACGAAAGTACTAATTGGAGACACTATTTTTTACCTCTTCTATAAGAGAAGGGACCGCCATTTTACGTGGTCCTCTGAGCAGGGTGAAGGTCTAGCCATCTGGGCCCAGTTGTTCGAAGGCCGATTAGCGCTTAACCCAGGGTTAAATTTAACCCGGGTTTCCTTTTGTTGTGTTCAAAAGCATTTACCTGGATAAATTTGACTCATTTTTAGAGCTTCCGATCATCAACTTGTAGACAAAAAGAATTAAAACTGAAATGCTTTTTAAGCTTTCAAATCTTGATTCAAATCTCGCCCTAACCCTGGGTTATCTTAACCCAGCTTTGAACAACTCGGCCCTGAAGGGCAAAGGCAGTACCTTCATTTCTAAGTTATTTTAAGACCCCGAGTATTGGTCTAGACTCGAGAATCAAACCCGCGACCTCCCGCTCTGCAGTCAAGCGCTTTACCGACTGAGCTAACCCTGCCGAGTTGATTTCGCAAGCTTTTGGGAACGCTAATTACTTTAGCGTGAGGTATCCCTGTTAATTACATGCTTCTAATAATAACCTGAAAATGTCAGTCTTAAAGCTTCATTGTTGGTCGACAAAGAGATTATGTTCTTTCAGCGGATTGTTGTGGGGGGTACAAAGAACGGTAGCTCTTGAAATATCGTTTGCTTTTCGCTTTCACCATAGTTGATAAAGTGGAGTTGTTTTAAAGCCTATCAGATTTTTTTGTATGTTTTCTCTTGTTAGTTTTTTCGGACTTCCACCATGCAATAAAGACAAAAAAACAAAAAAAAAGATACAACTCTCCAACATAAACTGCAGCACGGTTGTTTTTATCTCTCACATATGCATGCCCTTGATATTCAACTCATTTTTCAAAATCGCACCCCTTCGTGTTTGATGTTCCATAACTTTGGCTGTAGTGCATGTACAGAAAAGCCACAAAATGAAACAACATATCTAACATTGAACTTAATTTTTGAGCGATGTTTTGTTGACATTGCCGCTTCCATAGCAACAACAATTTGAGAATTTTCTCGAAATCTAGCTATACTAAATATTCTAGTGCGCTAACAGGTTACACCGTCGTTTTTACCTTGGCAATGTTTGAATTTCAGAAATGTAATGTTCTAAACATTTTGAATCCCCAAAAATGTCTTTTTCACTTTTTGTTTTTGAATGATCAAAAATGTTGGTTTACAGCGCTGGAAAAACCCTTATTTATATACCTAGCTTAAAGTGCGGCTCGATTCTTTCAATGGTGGTAAAAAAAATTAGCAAGCAACCTTTGTGATAACACATTTCTCTATTCTTACTCAGAATATATGTTTACTTGTGTGAGCGTAAAAAAGTGTCCTCTTTTTAAAGCCGCTGTTCATAAACCGACTCGATATTTTTTAAAGCGCTAAGGATTTTTAAAAAGTGAAATTTCAAAGCCATTAAAAATTTGTAAGTTAATGAAATAAAATTGAATTCGTGGTGAATATTTGCGCTCAGTTGACTTCGTAATGGCTGCGGCTGCATTAAGAGACTTAGTATGTGTAATCAAATGGTGACGAGTGTAACTATTCCCTAAGTCAAGAGTATACCATTTCATTAAATTTGGCTTAAGTTCAGAATTTTTAGAATTTTTCGACAAAATACATGTTAGAATCCTTCTTCATGTGCTCTTTCGTGTGTTCCGGTTTTTTAAAGCGTCTTTTAATGCCCTGACATCTTCATTCATAACATTTTAAAACTTCGTCGCTATCTTGGCACTAAGACGTACGGAAGGTTGCCATGGCAATTTTGTAATTTCACTTGTGAAATTTTAAATTAACGCTGTTTATACTACTACATGAGAAATCTCTGCAATTTGATTGGATTAGAGCAGTCGTATTTCAGCTTAATTTGAAATACCTACATTTGAAAATTACAAACCTTTTGCGAGTAGTAGTATAAGCAAATAATAGCATGATTTGTACGTGATATTTGGCATAAATACCACTCGTGATATTTCAAAACTGTCTCAAATTTCACTCGCCTAACGGCTCGTGAACTTACGTATAACAATTTCGAAATATCACTCGTTGTATTTATGCCAAATATAACTACAAATCCTACTATTACCTATACAAATTCGCGCCAAACTTGATGATTAAGGAGTAATTCGTCACCTATGATACTAACGGAGTTATTTCTAATTAACTAATTAAAGTTAACTCGTTTAAAACTGAACACTGCGGTGCGGCTAGCCTCCCCCGCAGACGTTCTTTGGGGTTCGTCACGCGTTCAGCGTCCAGCCTTTACTGAGAGAAATATACAAAAAACCAACGCTTATCTCAAAGATTCTCTTCCGGAGCAAAAATCTTACATATGTGTTTGGCTTGTCAACACTTTGACTTCAACAGTGCCGATTGGATCTCCGATAATCTGCATATGATCTCCATCTGATATTTGCGAACAATGGGAAAGGAATTTATCGTTCGATTCAGCAGACATTAGTTGGGCGGGAACGCGTGACGAACCCCTAAGAACATCTGCGTGGGAGGCTACGGTGCGGCCGCATTTCTACAGTGCCGGATCTACAGTCTTTTATACTACTACATGAGAAATTTCTGCAATTCGATTGGCTTAGAGCAGTGGTATTTCAGCTTAATTTGAAATACCTACATGTGAAAATTACAAACCTTTTGCGGGTAGTGGTATATACAAATAATAGCATGATTTGTACGTGATATTTGGTATAAATATCACTAGTGATGTTTCAAAATTGTCTCAAATTTCACTCGCCTAACGGCTCGTGAAATTACGTATAACAATTTAGAAATATCACTCGTGGTATTTATGCCAAATATCGCTACAAATCATGCTATTACCTATACAAACAAGCTCTACCCGGTTTTGCAAATCAAGAAAGAACAATACATTTTCTTAACCTAGTTTAACGCAGGTAGTTTACTTCTTCAGGATTATGAAATGAAACGGAATGAAATGAAATTTCGTGGATGAGAGGACAATATACGTGCCCTCTTTAAATTATATGTGAACATAATTACAGTAAGCTCGGACTTCAGCCATACAAAAGCGCCAATGACAGCCGCTACCTTTCCTTCTATAAGCTTATTGTAACCCACATGGCCCATGATATAAATGATGTGTGAAAGGTTGACTACACCAACCAGCCGAAAACTTCCACAACTCTTTTCAATCAGTAGTGTGGGCTCTTTTACGTCACGTTCAATTTGATGAAGGAGACTAGGCCAACGGCTTAACGTCTCCGTCCAATTACGCAAACATATGAATTAAGACGAGATCTTAAACATAATAAATCTTACTAGTTTTTTTAAAGACCCTGGTTGTTGGTCCGGTCGGGGTTTGAACCTAAGAGCTACCGCTCGCAGAACATGTCTCTTCGCTTGTTTGTTTCCACATATTTGGATGCAGCATGACGGACAATTTCCTTTCAAATTCGAGTAATTCTTCTAGTAACGCTTCATTTCATTCAGTTATCAAAGTAACGCAACGCCTCTCTTTGCACTTCTTGTTTATATATATCAGAGGAAAACACAGAGTTGACGTAATATATCAAACATGAGACGCAGTGTTTCATCACCAGATGAAACACCGAGAAGAGAGTTGGAAATACGACGCGCAGCGGAGTATTTTTGACGAACTTCGAGGTGTTTCATCTGGTGATGAAACACTGTGTCGAATGTTTGATATTTCTTCTCAAACAAAATCATTTTTGAAGGAGAAATTAAGGATGCAAAAATGAGCAGTTTTTCATCTGATATCCAAACACTCATTAAACATTCATTTCCTTTGAATTTTCTTTATGAATTATTAATGAGTTTGAGAACTCACTTTCTACCACTTGATCTACCTACTTCTTGAGAAAAATATTTCTTGACAAATATTGTGGAAGCTCCGCTTTGGGCCTTTGCTAAACTTGAATACGTGTACAGTGTGTGTATTTTTTAGACGTAGCCGCGCTTGTAAAGGAGGATGAAACAAGCACTGATTTATTTTTTGAATAAGTCATTGATCTTTCCTTTACAGTACGAGCAAAATATTGATCTAACTCTTGTGGTACTCGAGTCTTTAGAATTATATCTAACTCTTGTTTTCCAATACTGGACTAGACTTCAACCATTTCCTGACGGGTATTATTTATGCTAACCCTTATACTTGTGATAACATAATAATCATAAACAATAAAATTACGACTTTTCACTTTCATTTGTAGGACACGGTATCAAGTGCTACCAGTGTGAATCAACTACAAATTGGGATGACTGTGTTAATAGAAACGAAACGTCGTGTTTTTCTGGCCTTGACAGATGTTTTAAAGGCCATGTGGAAGCAGAAAAAGACGGCACAACCCTCAAAACTTACGGAAGGTCTTGTACAACGAAAGAGTTATGCGACAAAGGTTGCGATACGCTCAAAGACGATGGTTATGATGTCAAAAAGTGCGACTTCTCCTGCTGTGACAAAGATCTGTGCAATGGAGCCAAGGTACCAATGGCCAGTGGTTTCCTATTCTTGGCATGCGCTTTTGCAGTTTTTGTCCGTTAATTTTTCTGTAAAACGTATAGTTACCAGTTCGGTAAAAGCATAGCATCCAAGTTATAAAATTCAGTTGTCTTGAGTTTAACGTCAGATTTAGTTGATCGTGTAATTTCATCAATTGCACTGTTGTAACTGTAATCATATTATCTTTAAATAAAGTGTAAGCACAGCCAAGTACCTTTTGTGGTTTTGATTGTACAGTGGAACCCCTTCTTAGGGACACCTCGTTTCAAGAAACACCTCCATTTAGGGGACCCAGGCCAGGGGCGGTCAGTTGGGTCGGGAAAAACGGCGGTGAAAGTTTTCAGTAACGGGCGGAAGAGCCCCTGGAATGCTACTCCAAACGAACCAGTGCCGGTGCGAGTCATTCGAATGCTTGTTTATGATATTACTTGTGCCCAATCGGAAGCCAACGTGTATTGCGCTGCTTTCGTGATCTTCTTATATGAAGGAGTTTACCTGCAAACTCGACTGTTCGTCGTACCTGTCTGCCTCATGCGGGAATGCTTTCTTTGAGAAGAGTTTTAAGTGGAAAAGGACGAAATCCCATAATTTAGCATGTTAGCAAATCCAAACAAAACGAAAATGCAACAAGCGAAACCAGACTGTCGTCTGATCGACTGTTCGCCGTACAAACTTTAAAGAGCGTAGAAGTTTCTCCTGCACGTGCCTGACAAGTCTGCTAAGCAGGCGTAAATAAGCAGCCACGTTCACGATTGCGCGCGCAAATGTTTTGGAAAAATCCTGGCTACGCCCCTCTCGTGCAGTAAAGGAAAAGAAATGTATTAAAAGTGTCCTGTACCTGCAGGTTTGTGTTCTTTGCTTGTTAAACCTTTTGCGTTTTTTGAAATTTCCGTTGCCGTTGGGTTGGTAGTTTAGCACTAAATTTTCCTAACAATGAAGCAGAACTTTCGCAGCAAGGCTAGTGTACGTATTCTTAGCTGACGTCAGACATTCCCGTGACTCCTTGAGGGAATAGCCCACTTAGGGAAAACCGGGTACTCATTGCCGTGGAAGCTTTATTCAGGCGACACCCTCGAGGCTGTGAGGTGGATTTTGTTCGCAACAATTTAGACAAAACCAAAATATTAAGATATAAAGATAAAATGAAACAGAAGTATATTCTTCCACCTTCTCTGGATCATGAAGTCCTTGGTAATTAAAGGCCTATCTCAGATCTCAAAGTCGTTGCTAAAATTATCGAGAAAGTTGTGGCTGTACATCTCCAAATCGCTCAAAAAAATCGCTTTTGAGGCAAAAGGACGACAATATACCACAGGTAAGGTAATTCAACGTTTGTTTAACTTTGATTTATATACATACTTGGCGATATATCGTTATAGGTGGAGCAAACGGTAAATCCAGTACATTTACTATAAAATAAGAATCAGTTACACACAAATTGTGTGGACGCCCTGTGGTTTAACTTCTGTTAGTTTTTTCTGTATAATATATCATTCTTTTACGCTTCTCCTGCTGTCATTCCGTATCAGTCTGCGTGACTGAGTAAAATACTTTAAAATTCCGAAAATAAGCCCCTCCAAATGTAAGCTCCCCAATCCGGTGACGCGAAAAACCCTCCGTTAAATCGCCCCTCCAAATATAAGCCCCCCGAGGGCTTATACTAGGAAAATTGCCCTCAAATACAAAGTAAAACAAAGCAAAACAGGTAAATTTACCTCCAACTACAGCTATTTCAAAAAGCAGTGTCGGAAGAAAAGCAAAACGTTTAAGCCAAGACCGAAAGGTAATATGGGATTTTTATAAGGACCTGCTACAGGTCCTATAGGAGATTTGCGGCCACTCAAGTATGTCCCTGAGAACAGTATGGAACGTCTTTCTGTAAGTGAGAGTATTTCTAAACGTTGAACAACCCTTAATACAGAGGTGGTTGGAGGCCCGGGAGGGGGACTCTGCATATGAAGGGGTGGGGATGTCCGTCGGAAATTTTGAATTAAACCCCTAAAGGAGACCAATCTGGGCGTGGCCCAACCTTTTTTTGACCCCTAAAAGCGATCATTTTAAACTTTGATTACATGAATCGAGTAAATAAGACGAATTGAAAATACATAATTTTTAAATATTTCTTCGAGTGCGACCCTAAAAGAGACCTTTACGGCTAAATATAATGGTGTTTTTCCCAGAACACCCTAAGCGAGACCATAATCCGAAATTTACACCCCTAAGCGAGACGACGAGCATCCCCACCCCTTTCATAAACGGAGTCCCCCCCGCCCCCGGGGGTTGGAGGGCCTTCAAACAGTAGGGAGCTTAAGCAAATACAATGGCGACAAAAGATCGATAGAGACCCGAAAAACAATAGGTTTAAATTAACAAAACAACAACTTACTTTGCACGTGCACGCGTTTTTGTCCGTGGCTGTTGTTGCCTGACTACGGCTTGAAATGTCTCATGTTTTATGAGGGAAGAGAACAGCAGACCACAATTTTCTTTTCTTCTTTTAACTTAAAACTATAGTCCTTTATAATTCATTTCCAGAGAAATCGCCGAACGAGGTGGAATAAAGGCGATGTGGTTGTCCATACATTCTCACATGCTGGTGTAGTGCAAGATATTACCTGAAGTAGACTTAAGCGAGCTTTAATTGATTTTTTGAGCAGGAACCATTATTCTGAAAAAAGTTTGTTTATAATATTTTATTTCGGCCACTTTGTTACTACGTTTTGCAAATTGATAAAATGTAAAATTCCATGATTTTTCTTTGCTAATTAGTGAACAAAATTGCTTTCAAAGATGGAAATAAGCAAGAGTGTACTTCGACTGAAACGTAATTTTACCTTGTGCTTTTTTAAAAACTAAAATGCTAAGTATGGTTCAGTATAAATGATGAATAAAAATCAGCGACCAGTTTAGTGGAGTGATTGTTTGTCGTCAAAAAACGGATTTGAAACAACCCACATTACCTTGCGGTCTTGGCTTGAAGACTTTTTGCTTTTCTTCCGACAACGTTTATTGAAATAGCTGTATAAGGCTAGCCCAATCGATTTTGAAATGCAAATTTCCCTCCGTTGATAAGCCCCTCCGAATATAGGCCCCTTCAGAAATAAGCCCTTCAAAAAGGGCCTTTGAAAAATATAAGCCCTGGGGCTTATTTTCGGAATTTTACGGTAACTTCAGTTTGATTAAGGAACTTTGCTTTGCGCAAAGTCCTGTGTTTTTGGATGGGACGATGCATTTTTCGTGTCATTGAACTTGGCTTTTATTCAAAATTACTCTAAACTGGTCGTGCGGCAAAGCTTACGTTAACTCATCTTAGAACTCAAAGAGCAAAGCAGGGTTCTTTCCATTGGGTAAAATATGATTTGGATCAGTAAGTTCATTCAATATGAGCTTTTTGCGATTTGTCTATTGGATGTTACTTTCTGATGCTCCAGGCGCCATCTATGCCCTTTTAACAGTGTCAATATATCTACGTTTACTGTTGCCCTGGGAACACTGTTCTGTTCGGCACAAGGTGCGGTTCTGAAGATTTTAAACTTGCCAGCTCTTCCGAAATCTAGCAACAAGCTCCTTGCACGATGAAATCTTTGTTTGCCTCAGTACTGGTTTTCGCCTTTTGTGTTTCTGTAGGTAAGGTGTAACCATTAATATGAGTCAGGTGTCTAAACATTATGCCTGTTTTCGTAGACTTAGCAAGCTTACAAGCGGTGCTATATTGATCCAGGTTACCAGTTGAATCATTACAGCTTTAAATGCTTTCTTTTCTAGTCGCAAAGTATATCTCTTTTTTAAAGAATCCAATACGGGACCCGGGTTCAATTCCTTTGCATTTTTGCTTACCTCTTAATGCTATTCTTCTTGTAGTAGTCGACGAGTCATGAATTGGCGACTCGGAATTCCACGGATAGAGATTGCGTCGTAGTTATTATATTTGTTGTGGTCTACTTTATTCAAAAGGAGTTGAAATTACGCAGAATTAGTGATTTTGCGATGTATCCCTGTCAACTACATAGTACATAGTCCTGATGATCGCTTGCAAATGTTAGTCTTACAGTCTTATTCTAGAAGCAATGGTCTAATGTTGTACAAACTTCATATAATACACCGTATTCACAAATGGCGGAAACGCGGGAAAAAACTGGTGGCTAGTCATGAAAGCGAGGCGTTGGAGGGTAAACAAAAATTGCAAATGAAGACTTTCAGTGAAGTTGCAGAGTGTTTAGCACGGATTCCACCTAAAATAACTTTGTATGGACGTCTTTTTTTAAAATACAATGACGTGGGACGTCTTCTGCTTTTAACGTTTAGTACTGATTTGCTGTTTGCAATCAAAAGGGACGCGTATATCTTCAAGGAAACTGGATGATTTTGTAGGTTGCCGAAGCCTCAGAAGCTCGACAAGTGGGCGATGGCTGGAAAAAAGCGGCAAACATGTTGGCCCAAACTTCACGCTGAAACCGAATGCGAAAGCCAGCTCACTGCAATTCTGTAAAACAGAAGTGAAAACAGATATTGGTGGCGAGAAAAAAAGAAATAAGCGACGGATATATGGCCTAATTGTCAACGGAAGAGACCTCCGCCATTACTCAAAACAGGTCAAGTCGAGAGCGGGTGAAAGATTCATTCACGAGACTCATTCATTCATGTCAGCGTCATTTTACACATATCTATGTATGTCTGTATTTACAACTTCCTTTGGATGATATTAATTCCGTCGCTTTGGAGTGAATTGTTAGAGGTGCGTTGGCAGAGCTTAACAAATTCAGTGCAAATTTAAAATCTTTTGATTTCTTTGTCATTGCGAAATGAAATAATTTTATCAAAACTAGAAGCTCTAGTGTGTGAATCTTATGGCTTGCTATTTGCCTGGTCTTCTTTACGGCATTATCTCGGAGAGCTCTTTGTAAAAAAGTGGTATAAAGCTCACATTTTACTAGGTTAAACTTTTAAGGCAATGTTTGTGTCAGGACTGAACACGGCAAGCTTCCGTTTCGAAGCATTAAATGCGAGTCTGGATCCATTTAAGAAGACCATCATTTTATTTA